CAATTTTGAGCATCAGACCACTCGCGTCCAAAAGTACCTTCCCAGGTATCGTCGATGAGGTGTCGGCCTTAGCATAGTTACAACTTATTAATGACAAGTACTAAGCCAGTGGTCTGATGCCAGAAATTAGCATGAATACCATGGCAGAGGACGCAGAACTAGATACATGGCTCCCATCAAGTTATACGTCTCAAAACCTTACTCTAATAAGACTATATGCAGTTAAAGGAGAATTAGGCCGACCCTAAGGCAATACCAGCTTAGCCTTCACATCAAAAGATATAACACAAATGAAGGATCGAGTGATAACAAGGGAACTATATATATCCGTAACAAGTTAGAGGGGAAGTGACTGCCAAAGCCAATAAACTTTGAGAGCATCAAGTTAATTATTTAGGGGAAACGAGAGATTTCAGAACATTTTAAATATACGGTAGCGGACAAGGGTAAAAATGAGAATACGGTACACAGTAGCAAAAGTAAACCCAAGTTGTATCAACCAAAATGGGAGTGACCAAACTTTACCTAAGTCCAGATAGCCTTGACGTGAACATTTGCAAGGCGTATAGGGAGAATTTGAGTAAAAAAAGCACTTGAGTACTTCTGCACTTAAGGAAACAGAGGCGTACGCAAACTTAATTCTTTTAATGCATATATTTATGCTAAAATACACGATACTGACAGGTATGATAGCCTAAGCAGACACCATCGTTGAATTATATAAGAGTACTGAGGGTGATGAAGCCCAAAATGAACAGCCTACAAGCACACATGAGTCGATTTGTTTCATAACATTACTATTTCATTTCTACATAGGAATACAGCCCAAGCTGTATAAAAAGACGAACCATGAGCACTAATTGGTTCATAAGGTGAACTAAGGGAACGAAAAGTATGTAAGCCCTAAGTAGTCTAGATAGTTACTTCCACAAAAAGAGAACTAATCATAGATGTAAGCATAGTGAGTAGACGGCTTTAGCGTGCAAATTAAACTCAGAAAAGGCCTCAGATTCCAATTTTATTTTATAAAGTTGGTGGGTATGAAAAAGGGATTTTAGAAACTATATACATCGAGTGTGTTAAAGCTCAGGAACTAGACTAGCTGTTAACAGTAGAATTTACTGCTTCAAGTCTCGTCCTACCAAACGAAGAAGAAGGTTGCGATTTGCCCGCTCCAGTCGATCAATGTGGTCACGCAGTTGAGAAACCTCAGTGACTTCGATTGTACCCGATCCAAGTGGTTTATCGATGATGGCCGGTCGGTGACCATTAGATTGTCTGCTTGTGTTGACTATATTGTCTTTGGGGGGCTGAGAGTCAGAGGAGGAAGGCAGATAGGGAATCTCAGGAAGGTAGAAATCGTCAAGGTAGAGATCAGCCTCTCGAATGGAAAGGGGGGTCTGAAAAGAAAGCGTAATATGAGACATAATAAGTACTATGATATTTGGAGCTTTATCAGCTAAGGTCAGATGCTAGACGAGAAATGTTTGAACCTTGTGAGACGAATTTAATCACCGCTCAGTTCCCAAAGTAGCGATTTATGCTATTATAAGAGTGCGTTACTCATAAGTAACCATAATGAATTAACCAAAATATGTAGGGTTTAAATAAAAAAAGTTGTTTGACCTTATTTTCGCAACTTGGTCGTATTGGTAGGAAGACTTAGAACGCACCTAGGCCGGAGGTCATTGTATGCATGATCATTTCCAAAGTCGGACCGTGGACGTGGTACATTCCCAGACGCTTTACCGGCATCGTCAATGAGTCTCACCATTCATAGCACCACACAACTTGTCCAAGATAAATGTAAAAACTGGTAGTTTTCGTCTATAGACAGATTTCGAGACAGCACATCAGATATTTAAGAGTTGACCCTATTTCGTTTAAGGTGATAATTATAGTTAATGCAATCGCAGAAGATTTAGACCTTTTTGGAAATTCACTAAACTACGAACCGTGAACTCCAAAGGTCAGACCTTAGCCAAGCTCGATTGATGTTTCGATTATGTCTGCGCTTCAGCAGATGGAATTCCCTTTCAGTTCATTAGTGGATGATAGTCTATCTTGTAAGTAAAACTATAGTACAGGTATATGGGAGGAGAAGTTGGGTTTCGAGGAGTCGCTTGTTTCATAATTGTTAAGCTTACTTCAATTTCAGGTGAAAGTTTTTGAAGAGATTCTAAGGTCGATCCTACGAGATCAGTTGCCTGCTACTCTATGGGATACCCCAACCAGAAGTGTCTTGTACGGAAGAAGAAGAGCCATAGACAAGGATTTGATGTTGGAAAACTAAGACGATAGCGGAGTGGTAACAGTGCAAGAGAGCTGTGCTCGGTCACTGAGGCTCGCAGATAGAAGCAAAGGCACAAGGGGAGAGGTAAAAAAAAGTCCTTAGTCTGAAGGGTTTCTGGCTTAAAATACTATTGCACTTTTAAGGCTACGTTCTGATTGGTTCAACAGGAAGGCTCGATACAGTAGCTCGGTTCATTTGGTCCCCGTGTGATAGTGTCAATGAGTCATGCTCCGAATGGTGTTGCTTGAATTGAAATAAAACCGCTTACTGACTGGTTGT